CTGTTGTCATATCCAAAGATAAAGAACAAATCCTCAAAGAAAGGTTCTTCACAGTTGCCACCATCTCAGTCAGTGGAATGGACAACATTACAGCAGGAGGCACTTGAAAGGCTTGTAGACGCTTTATCAGATCCACCAGTAATGGCTTATCCAGACCTTGAAAAACCATTTGTGTTGCAAGTGGATGCATCAGAGGAAGGTCTTGGGGCTCTCCTTTATCAAAGGCAGGATGAAGAATTAAGAGTAATAGGCTATGGTCCACTCCAGCTGAGAAAAACTACAAACTTCACTCAGGGAAGCTTGAGTTTTTAGCTCTGAAGTCGGCTGTCACTGAGCAATTTCGAGATTACCTTTTCCATGCCCCACACTTTACAGTACACAGTGACAATAACCCCTTGACATATGTGATGAAAAGTGCTAAACTGAATGCCGTAGGACATTGCTGGGTCTCAGAATTACTCTGACAGTAACCCGTTTTACAGACCGGGTAAAGTCAACCCAGATGCGGATTTTCTATCTCTCAAACCTGCAGAAATGGACAAAATAATGTCAGCATGCACGGAATGTGAAGCTGATGACATAACAGCACTGCAGCAAGGACTCACAGCAGATCAAGATGGTGATACTGACTGGATTTCAGCTGTTACATGCAATGTGGATGTACTGTCACAACAAACAGTTCCATGTACAACTCCAGTTGAGCCAATAGCAATCAAAGACATTCAAATTGCTCAACAAGAAGATCAAGTAATTCAAAGAGTAATCAAATTAAAGCAGAAAAATGAGAAAGTTAAATACAGGGACAAAGTGAAAGAGCCAACTGAAGTAAAATGACTTATGAGAGAATGGCCTCATCTTTACTTGGACAAAGATGGAGTTTTACGACGAAAGACAAAAACCAGAAATCAACTTGTAGTTCCTGCTAAACTCAAAGCACTGATTTATCAGCAACTCCATGAAGAAATGGGTCATTTGGGTGCAGACAGAATGATCTCATTGGCCAGAGAGAGGTTCTTTTAGCCAAAAATGTGAGAAGTTGAACATTATGTAACAAGAGTCTGCCGCTGTTAAAAATAAAAGAAACCCAACCAAAAAACCAAAAGCCCACTACAAACTATTACAACCTCTGCTACTTTTGAACTAATTTCGATCGATAATCTGCATCTAGAGAGAAGTAAGGGTGGAGTAGAGTATATTCTTGTAATAGTAGATCATTTTACTAAGTTTGCACAGGCTTATGCAACACCTAAATAGTCTGGAAAGACAGCTGAAATCTTTGACAACTTTATTCTACGATTCGGATACCCTGCTCGAATCCATCATGATCAGGGAAGGGAATTCGAGAATGAGTTGTTCAGAAAGTTGCAAAGTTACAGTGGGATACAACATTCAAGGACAACACCTTATCATCATCAGTCCAACCCAGCTGAACGTTTTAACAGAACTTTGTTAAGCATGCTCAGAACACTGGAAGAAACACAGAAACCTAACTGGAAAGACTACTTGAACAAAGTGGTACATGCATATAACTCTACAGTGCATGAATTAACTGGCTTTCACCTTTTTTCTGTTATTTGGGAAAGAACCAATCCTATCGATAGACTTATTGTTTCCAAAAGAGCAAAATCAGTCA